AAATAAATAATAATAATAATGATAATAAGGGAGAAATGTGGGATTCACATATAAATCAAGTATAAAAATCAAATGAATAATCATATTTGACCTGATTGGTTATAGTTCATGATGCGTGATCAAAACCGAAAGTTTCTGTGATGATTGCCCTTGCACTGTTCACCATGTAAGAACTAATTCACTATGTAAGAACTTGTTCACCACGTAAAAACTTGTTCATTATGCTTCAGAAGATTGGAGACTGTTGAGAATTAGGCTTGGGGTTTATTAATGATTGTGCATTGAGCCCCCTATACAGAATTTTATTGTTGTTAACAACCATATGATCAATAAATATGAGAGATGCCCTCTCAAAAAAAAAATTAATTCTGAGGAGAGAATTTTTGCTGAGGTGTCAAATGCAGTCAGTAGGAACAGCAGTTGTACTAACTGCGTTTTACACCCTAAAACACTAAGAAGGAATCCGGCAAAACAGTTTTATGCTCACCAGCATGGGGCGCTTTTGATTACATTTCAAGGGTTCAGTCAATTAACCTTTTTTTATCCAGGTATAATTTTTACACAGTTATGCTTTATTCAGCTAGGAAAATCTAACTTTGTCAAAGAAGGAACAGATTATTTTGGTGTCCAAAATTCACCTGACAAATGTCATTGTTTACATTTTTGTTTCTGGCATTAATAAAAGAATAATTTCTAAAGAAAAAAAATATATATATATATATTCATCTTGAGGTGTTATCCTAACAAACACAGTAAGTCTCAGGCAAATAGCAGGTAACATGTTGACCTAAAAGGCTACTTAATACTTTTCTACAAATTCTTACCTGACAATTTAAAACATGATTCATAATTAAATGCAGCATATTTAATAAATTTAATGTCTGAGAGTATAGGAATCAAAATGTCTGGGGAAATTTTAATTCACATCTAAAACCCTTTAAGGAAGCATGAACTATTAGGTGGTCATTGATGAAAGATTTACCAGTATTTATTTTTGTTTATACATAAATTCATTTGCATTTTATCATCATACGAATTGATTTTTTTAAACTTTTTTCAGTAAATCAATATCAATTTTGTGTTTTTGCCACACCTATGTTGAGGCTAAAAATTAGGGAGTATTTACCTGTATTACAATATCTCCTCCTATTGTCAAAAAGGTGTGCAATATTCTAAATTGTAATTAGTATAACTTTTGTTAAGAACAAATTCATATAATTAAAATAAAACCAAGAAAAGTGTATTAACCTAAATCTCTAAAAAGTATGTAAGTATATCACATTGGGCTTAATATTCTAAAGGAACAAAATATACTTTTCTATAGTTACCAGGTTTTAGGATTTTATGTTTACCAGGACACTAGAAACACAGACTTGCACAAGAAAATACAAAATAACTATGTTAAAATGTTTAAAGAAATTACATTTGAAAATATGAATGGGTCATGAGACCACAAAGATTAAACATAGTGAAAAAGCAACCAAATAAGACTTCTATAAATGAAAAATATATCATTTTAATTTGAAAATTGAATGGACGTATTAAAAAGCAGATTAGACCTAGCTGAAGAATGAGCAAACTTAAATATGAAGAAATTAACAAGAAAACAGCATATAGGAAAAAACAAATAGTAAATGTGAAAGAGAGTTTAAAGACAGAAAATAAAATGAGAAGTTCTATTATATGTCTACTTGAAATCCAAGAAGATTACAATTTAGAGAGTAGGGAAGAGGCAATATTTGAAGAAATAATGCCTGAGAATTTTACAGAATTGTTGAAAGAGATTAATCTAAATGTTCTAGCAAATCCCATGAAAAGTAAATAAAAAGAATTCCTTACCTACATACTCATAATGAAATGCAGGACATCAAAGAAAGAGGTCTAAAAAGCATATAATAGCACAGAATTAAAAAGAAATGCAATCAGGCTGGTGAGTGACTTCTCAACAGTAATTGAGAAGTCCGAAAACAGCAGAATTTATCTGTAATGTTCTAAAAAAAATTCTTGCGTTTATTCTAAGAGGTGCAAATTTTCATCTCTCTACAACTGGGATGTACCTTAAAGTTGATGCCACTTCAGATTGTGGATAGCTTAGCTGGAAACATAATATTAATTTCATAATAGTGCACAAAATAGTAATGTTTCTTCAAATCAGGGATATGTGATAGTTGCCAACTAGAATTTTATAATAAATGAAATTATGTTTTGAGATTAAGAGAATAAAGACACCTGAAACAAAAACTGAATTTACCACCAATAGGTCCTCACTTAAGAAAATTCTAAAGGATGAATTTCACATAGACAATGTACTTACAAAGTCTGATATACAAAAAAGAGTAGAGAACAAAAAATGATAGTAAATATGTGGGTATATTTAAATAAACATTAATTAATTTAAAATATGGTTTATGGAACTGAAAATAAAGAAAAGAATGCAGGACAAAAAATGTATATATGTTGAGAGAAACAATAATTTAAAGCACTATCCAATCTTCAGATTTTTTCAGGAATAACAGATTTCAGTTAGCTTTGTTAAATATATATTTTAAAATGGCTAACATAACTACTAAATCAACAATCAGATAGCATAGAATTTCTAAACTAGTAGAAAAGGAAAAAAAAAAAAAAAAAAAAAAAAAAAAAAAAAAAAAAAAAAAAAAAAAAAAAAAAAAAAAAAGAAGAAAAAAGAAAAAAAAAATAATGGGATAACTAGAATACACATATGATAGAAATATATCCAAATAATCAGTAATATCAATAAACATAAATGTAGTAAACTTTCCAGTTAAAAGCAGTGTCACATTATTCAAAAAAGCAAAAAACTGAAAACAACCCACATGTCAAATAAGAGTTTAATGGATAAATAACTTCTAGTGTATTAATAAAACAGAATACTAAAAAAAGATAGAAATTATTGAATAACTATACATACATCAACAAAAATCTCACTAAGGAAGTAACAAAATAATTAGCAGTATAATTCCATTCAAATAAACTTTTGGAATAAAATTAATAATGATGCCTACTACATAAGGGAATGACTGACGCAAAATTCAAAATATCTACTATTTTGAAGTTCAGAGGGGAGGAGAGAGATTCAGTTAGGAAGGGGCAGACAGGAATCTTCCAAGGTACTGGAAATGTTCTATAAAACTAAGTGGCAGGTTCATAAGTATTTTTTTTACCTTTTTATCTGTGCATATAAATTTACCAGTTATTTTCTGTGTATGAAATATTTTTTAAAACCCATACACAAAGCAAAACCATGTATTTTTAAAAGATACATGTATATGCAAAGACATACATCAAACAGATTGAGATGAGATAGAAATGGAGATGATGGAGAAAAAATAAAGTGAGAGGGGCCTTGCACAGAAAGATGCTAAGGTACCATGAACTAAGCATAATTAACTTGACAGTGTACCTGAGATCTAAAACAAAAGAATAAATTGATTAAAATATGCTGTCTTATCTAGTACATCAGAAGATCACAAAAATTTCAAATACCTTGATATTGAAAAGAAAAAATAACTATTATATCTAATCAGGCTTTTAATTTTTTTATGAAGGTGTCATTGATCTTATGAAGGTTTCATATGAGCAATATTGTGGTTTCAACACTCACCCATATTATGTCAAGTCACCCCCACCCCACTGCAATCACTGTCCTTTGGAGTAGTAAGATGCTATAGAGTCATTGCTTCTCTTCTCTGTGCTATACTGAATTAGACTTTAAATTTATAAATATAAGAAAATATTCAGCCTCCAATTTATTTTTGTAGGTAGGTACTTTCAAATACAGCTTGAAAGCTTCTCTTATTTTGTAGATTAGAAGATACGGACAAGAAGCCATGCTGTGCAAGGATACTGCAGCTTGTTCATATAGAAAAAATTAAAATGTATAAAACTATGAAATAGTAATATAATTTGTAGTGAAATTCTATGCAGTAGTTAACATGTACAGACTAAATTTATGTGAACCAAAAACAACTCTCAAAAACATAAGTTTGAGTGCAAATAAGCAACAAAAAGTTATGTATAGCAGAATGACATTTATGAATTTTTAAATGCCCAAAACAATATTAGAAGCATTCACATATATGTAAGTTTTAAAAACATGAACATAAAGGTTATATACTTAGTTCAGAATACTAATCTCTGAAAAGGAAAAAATAAATAGCTCAAGATGGGCAAATAATACTTTCATATAGGATTGTGATAGCAGCTGCCCTAACACCCCCATCTCTTACCACCCCAGACCCTGGCTCTGCCCATCCCCACTACAATCCAGTAACTAGATGGCTAATGCTTAATAGCAGAGGTTCTAGAGACTGTACCTGGGATAGCAGTGGCAAAAATTCTTACTGGTTGATGTTGATCCTATAAATTTTTTATATCATCATCCCAAGAGCCAGGGATGGGCTCAAAAGTTACAAAACAGTCTTCAACTGTTATCAGTAAAGTTTTACTACTTTTAAAAGAATAACTGAAGGAAATTTTTGGGGAAAATGCCAAATTTAAATCTGCGTAGTAGGTATATGAGTACTAGTGTCTATACTTTTCTGTATGTTTGAATGAAATACAAAAAATTAAAATTTACAAGCATAAGCCAATTGACTTTTAAAATCATAAAATACAAGGACACGATCAGATACAAGAGCAATTTTATGCTGTTACAGTTATAATTCAATTTGGATTTTAAATATGTTAATTCCAAAGAAAGTACATATATTTAAAAAATTAAAGTATCATTGATATACAATCTTAAGATAGTTTCACATAAACAATACAGTGGTTTCAATATTCACCCATATTATCAAGTCCTCACCCCTTCCATTGCAGTTACTGTCTATCAGCATAGTAAGATAGTAATTACTTGTTATAGTCATTAAGGTTATAGTCATTACTTGTCCTTTCTGTGCTGTCCCACCTTCCCCATGACCTACCTATATTGTGATTGCGAATTATAGTGTCCCTTAATCCCCTTCTCCCTCCTCACCCACCCTCCCCAACCTCTTCCCTTTGGTAACCACTACTCCCTTCTCCTGTCTGTGAGTCTACTGCTATTTTGTTACTTCCCTGTTGCTTTGTTTCATTTCACAGATGAGTGAAATCATTTGGTACTTCTCTTTCTCTGCCTGGCTTATTTCACTGAGCGTAATACCCTCTAGCTCCATTCATGTTGTTGCAAATGGTAGGATTTGTTTTCTTCTTATGGCTGAATAGTATTCCATTGTGTATATGTACCACATCTTCTTTATCCATTCATCTACTGATGGACACCTAGTTGCTTCCATTTCTTGGCTATTGTAAATAGTGCTGCAATCAACATAGGGATACATATGCCTTTTTGAGTTTGGGCTCCTGCATTCTTAGGGTAAATTTCTAGGAGCGAAATTCCTGGGTCAAATGGTATTTCTATTTTTAGTTTTTGAGGAGCCTCCATACTGCTTTTCACAATGGTTGAACTAATTTACATTCCCACCAGCAGTGTAGGAGGGTTCCCTTTTCTCCACATCCTCACCAGCATTTGTTGTTGTCTGTCTTTTGGATGGCCATCCTAACTGGTGTGGTGGTATCTCGTTGTGGTTTTAATTTGCATTTCCCTGATAATTAGCAATGTGGAGCATCTTTTCACTACCTGTTGGCCGTCTGAATTTCTTCTTTGGAGAAGTGTCTCTTCATATCCTCTGCCCATTTTTTAATTGGATTATTTGCTTTTTGTTTGTTGAGATGCATGAGCTCTTTATATAGTTTGGATGTCTACCCCTTATTGGATATGTCATTTATGAATATATTCTCCCATACTGTAGGATGCCTTTTTGTTCTACTGATGGTGTCCTTTGCTGTACAGAAGCTTTTTAGTTTGATATAGTCCCACTTGTTCATTTTTGCTTTCGTTTCCCTTGCCTGGGGAGATATTCTCATGAAAAAGTTGCTTATGTTTATATTCCAAGAGAGTTTTGCCTCTGTTTTTTTCTAAGAGTTTTATGGTTTCATGACTTACATTCAGGTCTTTGATCCATTTCAAGTTTACTTTTATATATGGAGTTAGATAGTAATCCAGTTTCATTCTCTTGTATATAGCTGTCCAGTTTTGCCAACACCAGCTGTTGAAGAGACTGTCATTTCCCCATTCTATATGAAAATATCATTTTTAAGTTTATGCACTATAAACTCAAGCTTTTTTTTACAATTGATTTAAAATATTATAGTTAAATGAGGACATGCTGAAAAGATTATACTTTATTAACTTTATTTTATAATGTACCAATATTAAAATTTATTTTACATTGTTCTCACCATATTCCATACAAAATGGCAAAATAATTGTTTCAATTCCTAGAGGGATTCATAAGCATTTATGCACTTGAAAAGAGTTCAACTACTAAAGATTGAAAAACACTGCCCTTTTTCATTGTATCATTTACTTCTTTTCCATCTTTACTGATGTATAACTGAAAATAGAAAATATATATAAAGTGTGTGATGTTTTGATATACGTATACGTTGTGAAATGATCTCCACAATCAAGCTAATTGCCATATCCATCACCTCACCCAGTTACCATTTTCTTTTTTGTGGTGAGAATACTTAATATCTAAATTTCAAATACACAATACAGCAGTTAATTATAGTCACATTGGCTGTTACTTATTCATCCTGCATAATTGAAACATACCTTTTGACCAACATCTCCCCCACTGCCCTCTCCCCTCAACATTTGGCAAAGATCATTCTACTCTCTGCTTCAATGAGTGACTTTTTTAGATTCAATATTTAAATGCAAGCCTGCAGTATTTGCCTTTCTAGGTCTGGCTTATTTCACTTGGCATAATGTCCTCCAGTTCATCCATGTTGTTGAAGATAAAAGGATTTCCTTCTTTTTAATGGCTGAATAATACTCCATTGTATCTATGTACATATATATGTATATCACATTTTATCTATTACCTGTTGACTGACTTACTTTTTACTGTAAAAAATCTCTTTTCCTGGAAAAGAAACTAGGCTTGTCATTCTCATTTAAAGCCAACAGTGGGAGGAAACAAACTATTCCCCTCACACACCTTCTTCACCCCTACTTCAAACTTCATCTCCTAGGAGCTATAAGCTATAAGGTAAAGACTGGGTAGATTTTTCTAGTGGTCTTAAAAATATCAATAGAAGGGGCATCAACTTATTCAAAAGGATATTTAATTTCAGAAAGATTTTCATTAGGGTCTAGCCCTAATAAAGTGAGGCTGTAAACCAAAGGGGTGATATGGTATATAGAAAGATAATGGGAGTCAGAGTACTCAGTTCTGACCCTAAATCACTGTGGCTTCTCTCTAGCAATGTTTCCTAATCTAGAAAATGAATGGGTTGGATCAAATAAACTCAGAAGCCTTTTACAGTCCATTTTTATATTGTTGTGGGATTATTCAACCTCAGTGAAATGTCAGAACCACCAAAAGAGTGAAAATAAGTAAAATCCACTTTAAGATTTAGATGTTTCACTGCTCTTTGTTCTATAGTCAAGCCAGGAATCAAAGGAAGTGAGAGATCATTTGGCCTCATGTCTTGGATCATTTGCTAACAAAGAAATGGAAGGGTGCTGGCACAGGCAAGTGGGCACACAAAACTGGACTTCCCTTTCTTTTAGCTCTCAGTTGTGCAGGAGACTGTTTTACCTCTACCTCCTTAGAGTTAGAGTGGGGAAAAATAAATGCCAGAGTACAACTCACCACTGGACAATTTTTCCAAGATGTGGGAGCTGATAGATGCCTGATTTCTGATGGTGTAACCTCATGCGGCCCTTTGCTTTGGCCAGTAGCAAGCCTTCCTGGATCTAAGTGGTGTAAAAACTGGAGAGGGCCTGACATGCTGGACATAAAAACAGCATGAAACAAACCTAGTAATGGTGATCCAAGGTGCTTCCAAGGGGAGTTTGCATAGAGCAGTCAGGAAGAGAAGCTGAGATTTGCCCAGTGTCAATAGCAATGTCTTTGAGAAGGTTCTACTTCAGATGACCACACTTTAGCCAGATGGAAGCAGCTGCTAGCTGAAGCTGAACCTATGGCTTGGAGGCAAGGCAGATCTAGTTTCTGAAGATAATGTCAAAACATTGTTTAAATTGTAATTGATTGAACAACCTGCTAATATACATATATGCACTCAATATCATACTTAAAACACTACTTCTGAATCATAGACACCTGACCTAGAAAATTTGTCATTTCAATCTATCAGAAATGCTAACTATACCCCTTAAGATTCAGCCAAAAGATAAAAAGTCCAACATGAGTTAATGTAGCATGTGACAGTTCACAGTACTTTTTCTTCAAGAGGAATATAAAATGTAACCTTACAATTTTTATAAATTCAATTTCCCACAGAACTTCAGTACTACCTAAATCCATTTTCCTACCCAGTTCAATTCCATGTATTATCTTTCTTTTCTGAAGTGAAATAAAAAGAAAGGAGGAAAGCCACCTTCCAAATTAATATCCATGTTTAATAGGCAATAAGATGGAGATTTCTTTTTTAATATGTATTAAATTTTATTAAATTAAATTAAATTTTAATATGTATTAAAATTCTGGGGGGGAAAAAAGCAGCATTTAGAAATTGCAACTGGAGGGGCTATGTGTAAATGGGGTATGTGTTTCCTTTGCTGGGTGGTACATCTCAGAAAATCGAATTGTCCCAGAAGGAGAGAAATTTTCCTAAGAGGAGGAAAAAAAACCAAGATGGTGTGATTTAAAGAACAAGGAGTACAAAGCATGAAGGCCTGATTTTCTTCACTAGCCCTAAAATCCATTTTGAAATTCCTATATTAATTCATTCTAGCTTTAGTGATGTTGAAGGCAATTATTAAAGTACAAATATCTCTAATGAGACTAGTTTTTTTCATTTTCATTATTTGATACCTAAAATCATTACTACATCAATTCCTTTTCTAAGAACAGAAGAAGAGAATTAAAAAACAAATCAAGCTTTGGTGAATGAGAATAAACCGCTCCTCAGTCCTAGAACAAGAATGATACTGGAAACAAAGGTCTTAAAAATCCTATCCTTTAGGTTTATTTTTATTTCCTTATCATTTAATGAATCTTATGCTGTATTAAAACTTAATGAGCTTCATTCATATTGCCTCTAAGAAACAAGCTACTATGTGGGCCAAGGCATGAATCTATAAATCCTTCAATACCTAGGATTCCAAAATGTTGGAGCTGATAGATGCCTGACTCATTCCTTGATTCCTGCAAAGTGAGGATAATCTCCTTCTAACTCTTATAGTATATGATATATACTTTTCTTCTGATTCTTCTCATTTAATATTATTTTACGTAAAAATCTTATCTCTCCTACTACATTAAAGGTAACTAAGAGCAGGATATACTTCTGGTTTATTCCTGTCATCCCATGCTATCAAAAAGACAGACTGAGCAACTAAAGAACCCAAAAGGTGGGAAAAAACAAAGAAACCCTTAATACAAAGTTAACTTATACAGATATAGTACTGTTCTCCCATACTAACCTTTACAAATGTAATAAAAATGGTGTCCATCAGTAGATGAATGGATAAAGAAGATGTGGTACATATATACAATGGAGTATTATTCAGCCATAAGAAGAAAACAAATCCTACCATTTGCAGCAACATGGATGGAGCTACAGGGTATTATGCTCAGTGAAATAAGCCAGGCAGTAAAAGACAAGTACCAAATGATTTCACTAATTTGTGGAGTATAACAATGAAGCAAAACTGAAGAAACAAAACATCAGCAGACTCATACACTCCAAGAAGGGACTAGCGGTTACCAAAGGGAAAGAGGGTGGGGAGGGTGGGTGGGAAGGGAGGGAGAAGGGGATTAAGGGACATTATGATTAGCACACATGATGTAGGGGGGTCACGGGGAAGGCAGTATAGCACAGAGAAGACAAGTAATGACTCTATAGCATCTTACTACACTGATGGACAATGACAGCAGTGGGGTGTGTGGGAGGGGGCTTGATAATATGGGTGAATGTAATAACCAAAATGTTGCTTATGTGAAACCTTTATAAGATTGTTTATCGATGACGCCTTATTAAAAAAATTAAGAGAATGTAATAAAATGTATTACATGAAAGTAAAAATACACAAAATACAATATGATGCAATTATTCTGTGATTTTTTAAACACAAAATACAATATGATGCAATTAATTATTCTGTGATTTTTTAAAGGTTTGTACATGACTATCCTATTTTTTTATATAAGCATAAGCTTTATCAACACTTCAAATTGGGAAGACATGGTATGCTATACTTCACTTAGTAGGAAGAAAACCCATAAATTTTTACTGTATCAGGCACAAGAGAAATATCCAAATCCAAGATTAATTCCCAGAAGAAACCTAAGTTGTCCAATACGAGTGGCTGCCCTGCACAATTTGCCAGTAGAATGTTTGCACATGAAAGGAGCTGTTGCTAGGTGAACGCATCACAGAGGTCCAAAGAAGAGTAAAGACCTCCTAAAGTGATGCAGGAAGGCCTGTGGTTGTTCCCTAATCAATCAAGTGAAAACACAAAGTGGGTTTCTTCAAGCATTAGTATACTTAAGAACTGTTTAAAAGTGCTCTCACTGAAAGCCAACATTACAGCAAATGTGAAACCCATTATGTGAGTCTTCCATGAAATTCTTGGAATTGGTCAAACTGTTGCACTCCAGTACCTACATCTCTTCAGGGAAGTACTTTGAGAGGAAAGGAAATGGTGATTACATCTACCATTCCTAAAGCAAAAGATAATTTGTCTGAAAAACTGGTATTCTAATTCTAGGGAAATACTTTTATGCCAGAGATAGTATGTTCCTATTCTGTATTCTTGATACCAGACTCACTAGGATTATACTTAAAATATCATCTAATCCAGTGGTTCTCAACTCTGCCTGCACACTAAAATCTCAAAGAAAAATTTAAAAGAACACTGATACCTGAACTCCAGCCCAAATTCTAACTGAATTGGCCTACAGTGAAACCTAGGCATAAATATTTTTTAGAAGCTATTTTAAAGTGACTTAAGTGACTTAACAATTGTAAGTTGGGAACTGTCACACTATCCTTGTTTATGTATGATAAAAATGAGGGAGAAATTAAGTGATATTCATTGGAATGAGAGTAACAGTTAATAACTACCCCAGGAAAATAAGAAATATTCTTTCTTCCTCCTAAAATAAGATTTAAAAATTACATCCCCAAGTAACAGGAATATAAGTATGAACAAGATAGGCAATTTTGTATAAAGCTTACATTCTGTTGGCAAAAAAAAAGACAGAAAGCAAGCATATAAATAAGTAAAATAATTTTAGCTAGTGATTAAGTGCTGTGAGTAAAACAGGCTTTTGTGACTGTAAAGAGGTGAGTAGGCAATAACCTTTGATAGTGTAATCAAAGCTAGCCTGTTTTGGATATATTAACATAAATCATGTACTTCATTGGATAACCTGCCTTTATCATTTAATAACATGTGAGTTACCTTACACATCTATACATATTACTACTTTAACAACTCTATCTACCCTGATGGAGATTTTACTGCTTTTTACTATTAAAGTCAATGTTGTGAGGAACACTTAGACTTCTACCTTTGTGTATGTGTGTAATTACTCCAGGATAAATTCGTAAAAGTGGAATCACAAGGTCAAAGTAAACACACATTTAAGTTTTTGATATTATCAAATTACCCTAAAAATTTTATAAAAATGGAGCTTCTACAAAAAGATACATGTTATTTCAAGCAACTGCCATTAAAATTACTTTAATAAAAATGTTTTTTCTTTTCATTGAGAAATGATTCTTAGTCTTTATCCTATTTGACAGAATTCTCCCATTTTCCATGAAACATTTTCTTCACCTGTCTCCTAAAGCCGCCTTCTAAAATGGCTTTCGAGATTTTCCTCATAACACACTGAGCTCTCTTTTCCAATCTTCCCTCCTGGTTTTTCCTCAGTTCCCTGAATTCTAAACATGGAACTAAATAAATGGATCTAGAGATTATTTAGATCATACCTACAACCCATTCCCTTCGTTGGCATTCATCTAATCTCATGGATTTAAATATCATATTTCCATTTGGATGTCTAAGAGGCATCAAAAAACACTTAAAACTGAATTAAAATTCAAAACCTGGCCCTTCCATAGTGTTACCCTTATTTCAGTTCAGTAAGTGATAATTCCATCTTTCTAGTTGCTCAACCAATCTTTTTTTACACCCCAACTTCCTCTTTTCAGTTAGGTTTCTGCTCATGTCAGATTCCCCAAAGCTTCTTCCAACACATTTCTAAAACAGCACTCTCCTGCCTTCTAAGCTCCATTCCCTATCATCTTGCCTGTTTTTAAAAAATGTCATGTATCAATATCTGGTTTTACTCAGTAAAATTAGACTATATATTTCTTTAATTGATCATTATCTCCCTCACAGGAATATTAGCTGAGGGCAGGAACCTTGTTGGTTCACCAAGGTATCTTTAACACTTGGAGCAGTGTTTTTTGTTGTTGGCATAGTAGTCACTCCGTAACTCTTTGCTCAATGAATGCATGAATTGTACAGGTCATACAAAGATACTGTAATTGAGGTAGCAATTGACAATACATTTAGAGATGAAGCATCAAGGTCTGGGGACTACCCCAGGCACAGCTATATACAGTTTTGGGCAAGTTATCCTTCGAAGTCTAAGTCTCCATCTGTAAATTGGGGTTTGTCCATCTTCATCACAGAAGACAGCTGAAATAGTCGATATCCACTTTGTATTATAAGCACAAAAGTTTCACTACCTGCAATTTTCTAGGAACATTTGCTTCAATTTTTCTCTTAAGTTTACTTGTTCATATATAACATATGGGAGTATGTGTTCAGAGGTCCACATCAAGTTATTATATCACTATATTTTATATTAAGTTGTGCCTCTAATGTGTCCTCTTGTGCAAAGTTTAAGAATGTTAAAGCAAAAGCCATTCCCAGAAAAAAATGCACAAAAAATTCTCTATTAAGGTCATGGTTGCACAAATCTGTAAATATACTAAAAATCATTCACTTGCACACTTAATCAGGTGAATGTTATGTTATATACATTTTACCTCAAAACTATTCATAAAATGAAAAAGATTCTGTAATTTCATTTGAGGCTTTGTAAAAATATTGTCAGAATTTAGAAATAAGGCAAAAGAACATCAAAAGCCCAAAAATTTAAAAAAAAATGAATCAAGTTTAAAAAGATTAGTTCTGCCATTTCTTGAAACAGGCCTCCCTGAAAAACAGCTTGTAGAAGAAACTCAGATATTTGGTTAAATCCAAAAGGGCCTGAACAAAATTACAATGTCAAAGCAGTATCTGCATCCCTATGTCCACTGCATTTTTCACAATAATCAAGACATGGAAACAACCTAAGTGTCCATCAGTAGATGAATGGATTCAGAAAATGTAATACACATACACACAGAAGACTATTATTCAAACATAAGAAAGGAAATCTTGCCTTACAAACATCTTGAGGACATTATTATAAGTCAAAGACAAATACTGTCTTAAGATACCACATCAGTGTTTAATCTAAAATAGTCAACCTCAAAGAAACAGAGTACAACGGTGGTTGCCAGGGGTTGGGGGAAATAAGATGTTGGTCTAAGGTAGTAACTTCCAGCTATATGATGAGTAAATTCTAGGGATCTAATGTACAGCATAGTGACTATAATGAACAACTATATACTTGAGTGTTTATAGAGATCTTAAATGTGCCACACGCACACAAAGGTAATTATGTGAGATGGAGTTGTTAACTATATTGTGGTAATCATTTCATAACATACACATACGAATATCAAATCATCACATTGTACACCTTAAACTTACATGTTGTATGTTAGTCATCTCTCAATAAAGCTGGGGGTGGGATAAGAGGGAATAAAGTGACCTGAACAACTTCAGAACTGTACTGGGAAAACTAATCTGAGCGCGGTAAGAACCCAGCCAGGTTCCTCCAGTCAACAAAGCAAATTCACGGAAACTCGCAGGAGCAGTCCTCAGAGCCCAGCTGCCGCCGTCCTCCTCTCCTGCCCCACAAACGCCCAGTCTCACGGCTCCTCCGGAGCGGACGCCGAGGGGAAGGGACGTCCGCCCTTGTCGCTCACGGGCCAGCCCGCGTCGGCCACCCAACCCTAGAGGGCGCGGGGTATCCGACAGAAGCCAGACCTGAGAGGCGCCCCGCCCTCCCGCACCCGCTCCCGCCGGGAATACCAGACCCCGAGGGAGCCTCGCGGAGCTCCAGTCAGCGGGGCCTGAAACTGCGGGCTGCGCTTCAACCTTGGCCGGGCATCAGAGCCGCCTAAGATTTTAAAAACACATAGTCAAGGGCGCCACCCAGACGCCCAGACTCAGACCCAGGGCAGGGGCTCCCACACCGGAGACCGGAGGCCCAGGATGCCGGAACCGCCCCCACTCCGCAGGTTTACCCTCAGCGGGCAAGTCTCGCGCCCCCCGGCCCCCGGCCAGGCTCTCCGCGCGGAGCCCAGCGAAAACTCTCCCCGGAAAACCCCGCGCTCTCAGCACCCCCACAATTCGGGCCCCAGTCCCAGGGAAGGCGGACAGTGGGCGTACGTATGATTCCCGCGCCCGCGAAACTGTCCTCTGGCGCAACCGCCCCTCCGGTTCCGCCCCCTACCCCGCCCCCGACAAGCGGGCATGGAGGCCTGACCCCCTCTTCAGCGGTTCGGCCCCACACGAAAGCACGACCTGGAACGGCTCCTTCCGCCAGCCAATCATTTCAGCTAGCCAGTCATCACCGAGTTCCTCCGTCTTCCGGCGGCATTCCAGACCCCCTATCCCGCCACTCTTCTCAACTTCTGGAGCCTAAGTCCTTCCGGGCCGCGCATGCGCATCTACATCCGGGGTTGCACATTCGCAGTAGCGTGTTCATCCTGGGCGGTCGCTAAACACGTGGGTTGGGCTGTCCTGCGCTGCTGCAGAGGTAGTCAAACCTCGGCTTTGGCTATTTCGTCTCCAGTAGCGAGCGGCAAATAAAAGGCATGGCACCGGCGGAAGTCCTGAACGGGAAAGTGGTCTCAGAGTAAGCACCTGTCGTATTTAGAGCATGTTGGGCTTTCGTCTAGGGATCTGAGCAGGCTGTGCAGGTCCCCATGTTCCTATTTTTTTGGCGCAAGAGTCTGGCCAGCGGGCTGGGACTGGAGGACATGTCCTGAGCCGTCATACCTGAAGACGGGTCCCCTAGAGTAGAAGAAAGCGTCCTGGGCAAAATCCACGTTTACAGATAGGCTCTCTGCTGGCTCTGCCCTCTGGCTCTTGCTTTTTGGACAAATCCTCCTCTCAACCCGCCCGACGATGCTCCCAAAAAGTGCATCTGCTGAGCGTTTTCTTCCAGGACAGTAGTTTGGGGCTATCTGCAGCACCCCGCTTTCAGAACTTTGAAACTCAGTGTACTACCTTCCCCTATAATTCGGAGGTAAGGAGACAGAAATTTGTGAGCTGACAAGGCTCGACAAGGTTACAAGGCTGATGAGTGACAGGATCTCCTTCCAGCCCATAGGTTTTCCCACTCCAGCAAAGTCATCATATGCTGAGTGAAACCCAGTAAACTTTCCTTCCTTTCAATTTCTTGCGCCTTTAGCAGCCATCTCCCTGTCTAGGCCCTAGAGTTCCTTCCTGATTTGGCTCTTGAGTCCTGGCAATACAACGTATTCCATTTGACCTCTACTTTTTTTTTTTTTACTCCCTACAGGAAATCTGCTTAACTAGTGGATATGATTGTCAAATTACTCCAAGGAAGTAACACCCTACTGCTTTTTGTCTAGGAGGTTACTAGTGGAGAAAAGTAAAAGTAAGAGTAAAGGATATATTTTGTGTGACCCTCCTGAAGGTTGTTCTCGGAACTTTTGACTTAACCGGTTATTTAGTAACTGCTGTAGCTGACAACAGTACTTGTCCTTGGAACTTAACTTTGTGAATAGAGGTTTTTGAGTGAATTAGGAAGTCTTTGTCCGTGAAACCCATCCTAGGGCAAAATGATTGCTTTCTGGGAAGTAGAGACGGTGGACAAAGAAGATGGTGAAATGTAAATTAGATGGTGGTGAATCTTTCATATTGGTGAGGAAAAACCCGACTTTTAGACTAGAAATCAAGGTCCTTATATCTGAGTGCTTTTCAACCTGTGGTTTAACTAACCTACGTTGTTTCTGTTTGGCTTTCCTTTTGTTTTCTTATAGTCAAACCTACTCCCTTTACCTGTGGATTTTTCTTGATAAAGTTTCATTTTAGAAAGATTGGTTGTGAAGAGAAAGTTCAGGTTTGCTTATTGACAGGCCACTGAAAATAGGTGCTCACTGAATATGTTTTGGGTGAGTGGAGAGCAAGGTAAATGTGTTTGTTAAGTTCCATAACGGCAAATACATGCATTGCCTATATCCAAAATACCTAGGAACCTTTCACTCCTTAGTAGTTGAGTAGCTTTAAGCAAATTAGTCGACCTTTCAATGCCAAAATTTCCTCAACTGTAAAATAAAGATATCTAGACCATTGAGTTGTTAGAATTAAATGAGTTCATAAGAGCATTTAGAATTGTTCCTGGCACATAATCAGTGTTCAGTAATTGTTAATATTAGTATTAATGTACACCTGGATGATTGATTCATTGTCTTTTTAACAGTGATAGCTGCCTTGAGATCTATTTCAGTGGTTCTCAATAGTGGCTGTGCATTAAAATCACTTAGGGAGGTTTTTTGTTGTATTTCTTTTTATTTAAATATGAATACATACAAAAAAGTGTACCTATCATAAGTATACAGCTCAATTTTGAATTTTCACAACTGAACTTACCTGAGTAGCTAGCACCCAGATCACGAAATGACATTTGCACTCCAGAAGCCCCCCTTATCCCCTTCTAGTCACCACTCCCCACAAAAGTGATCACTATCCCAGTTTCTAACACTGTAAATTAGTATTGCCTGGTTTTGAATTCTATGTAAATGGCATCATACAGGATAAAGTCTTCCATGTCTGGTTTCTTTAAATCAACATTATGTTCCTGAGATTATTCCATGTTACATATAGTTGTAGTTGGTTTGCTTTCATTGCTGTATTGTATTCTACCTGAATATGCCACTGTTTACTCATTCATGGACATTTGGGTTTCTAGTTCTTGGTGATTATGAGTTGTGCTGCCATGAGCATTCCTTTACATGTCTTTTGGTAAAACATAGACACATTTCTCCTGGTTACACATCTAAGAATAAATTGCAGAGTAACAGGACAAATACGCATGATCAGTTTTAGTAGGAATTGCCAAACCTGTCCAAGATAGTTTTACCAATTTACACCTATAAGGTGCTTTTGAAAAATATAAATGCTTGGTTCCTGCACCAGACCAACTTAACTGGAGTTCCTAGCAATAAGCCACTGTACTCAAATATTCTTAAAGTACTCAAATATTCTTCAAGTATTTCAAAAGCCCATTCTGTGATTCTAATGCATTTTGAAGGTTGAGAACCACCCATCTAAAAGCTTAACTCTAAATCCACTTCTCATTATTGAAGAACCAGCAGTTATTTAGTCACAAGTATTGAAAGCATTTTTTGGAAAAGACTGTTCCAGGTACTGGATGGGTCCCTCTACCCAGCCTGCTTAGAGTTAACTTACCTAAGTTTTTATATTGTCCTTTGGTTGAGTGAGCAGTTAGTTCCTATTGATAAGGTAATAAAGAATTATTAAGACTAAGATCTGTCTGTGCTTACAGAAGATTTTTCTTTAATGTACTTATAAAAGGGCTCTTTCAGAGACTGCCAAATCTTGGCACCTTAACTTTCATGGAGAGCTTGGCTCCAAGAGCTGGTAGTGTTCACAGTTACTCAGAGATTGGCAGCTCTTGAAAGGGGGACAGCTTGCCTGACCAGGGGGTAGGCCAGTCCTCCCAGTGCCTTGTGCTGTGGCGGACCCTTGTGCCATGGGCTTGGGAGAATGCTGAACAAGAAGGTGGTTCTCATAGCTTGAGCAGGTTGGGCTGCAGGTGGAGGCTCTGGGCAGGGTGTCCCCACCTTTCCTCTTTTGCTGGGCCAAGGACACTTGAGAAGAAAGGTAATGGAGCTTCTTTCTTGGCTGCCAGGGATCCTAGTCTGGGGAAAGGGCCTCATTATCCAAGTTTGCAGATCAGCTTTCTTGGTTGCCACCAATTGTTGGGTCTTTATGGGGACAAATTTACAAGGTTTCAAGTGCCCTGGATAGTTTCTTCCCTGATAGGGTGTTTGAATTATAAAATCTCTGACTTGTAGAGAGCAATGGTGGTACAGGTCATTAATTCCACTGTCAGAATTTCTCTAAAATCTGGTTCACTCCCCACATCCTCTCCTGTAGCTGAGGAAATAGTTGAGACAAGAAAAGTGATGTGATTTGGCCAAAGGTTACCAGGCTGGCTAATGGCAGAGGATCAACTAGCACCAAGGTTTTATTTAACCCAGTATGTGTTTTTCACTCTGTCAGGCACTCACTATTCTGTTAAAAGGAATTTCATAAGCTACTCTTTTCCTTAATGGTGGTCTTCCTCTCACTGCCATGCTTCCCTCTGCTGAGAAGTCCACCCCAGACTGTCTACTTTTCTCCTTTTCCTTCCTGGTAGTAAAGACTGGACAAAATTCATTATTCCAGGTTTTTTCTCTGCCTGTTCTACCCTGTGGGAAATTTGAATCTAGTTACCAAATTATTGCCCTTTTTGAAGGAACAACCACATTTCTCCCTTAGGGGGAGTCCAGGTTGTACCCTGAATATGACATATGGGGGAGATCTGAGGGTTAGACAAGTATGTGTCTTTTTGGATATTTATTAACTTAGTCAGCAATTATCTGTGTGCCTCCTGTATGCCAGGCACTCTTCAAAGCCAACAGACTACAGCAGTGAACAAAACAGCCCAAATCTCTACCCTTGTAGAGTCTACATCCTGATGGGTAGAGATAGACAACAAATTAGCTAAAACAGAATGTGAGGTGGTAAGATGTGCCAAGAGAAGAGGAGAGCAGGGAAGAGGGGCAGAGATTTCTGAGGCATGGGGAACCACTTTAAATGTTCAAGTTAAGCTCATACTCATTGTAAAAGAGAGCTTTGGGCAAAGATTTGAAGGAGGTAGGGCTGGGAGCTTGCCAGCATTATGGGGGAAAGGGTCCCTAGTCCTTTCCCTAGTCCCTAGTCCCACAGACCGAAAACAAGGCCTGTGCCACGGACCTTTGATCTCACCAGTTACTAAATGACTGCCTTGGGTCAACAGTGATGGCCCCAGAGAAGCAGACCTTAAGTAGAGGAGCTGAGTGAACTACATTGACACTGGTGGTGGGAGCCTACCTTGGCTTAAGGGAGGTATCCTTAAAAGAGATTTCACAAAGGAACGGGAACAGACAGTGTTAGAAGAACTACCTGATTAGGTATTTAGCCTAGAAACCTCAGCTCTTAACATAGGCATGCTTTTCCAAGTGGGGCTTACTAAAATGGTGTGAGATTGGTTTGACCTTCTCATCTCTTTGCTATCCTCAAGCCCACTCCCTCCATTGGTGGCCATTTTTCTTGATCATGCTTTCTTCCTAGAAAGACTGATTGTGAGGAGACAGGTGTTTGCCACTTGTGAGGCCACTGAGGGAAGGTACTCTGAGTTGTGGGTTGAGCAGAGCAGGTTGGATATGTTTGTAAGCTCCACGTGGGAGGTATCTCCAGAGCTAGACACAGTGCTGCTCCCTCCTCAGAGGATTGCCGGGCAACTTAGTTTACTTCTTTGTGACTCAATTTCCTCATCTGTATGTTGGGTTAGTAAACACCTAATTTTTAAGGTTGTTAAAATTAAAGGAGTTGTTGGAAAGCACTTAGGGCCCATAGTAAGTTTTAATAAATTGGTGCTTAGAAAGTACCTGTTGAATAAACAAGTATTTGTTTATCCAGGCCGTTTCTTTGGTAGCTTAGAATCTGGAGCCTTAAAATTAGAGTTTAACCTACTGATCAAAGAGTAAAATGGAACCATGGCTATATGTTTAGCTACAGGGCTAGATGAACTATTTCTATAAAAAGAATGGGCTCACTACA